CGAAAAGAAAGCTTTTATGCTATTACATCTTTTTCGTTAAAGCCGATGCGTATGTGGTGTAAATACGGTATACTATTCGTAAAAATATAATAAAAAACCTTATATTATGACTTGCACATTGTTAACATACCGGACATGAAATGGTGTACTCGTATAGTCTTGTCCGTGTTAAAGGTAATAAGAAATATGACATCACCAAATGTCACGTATTATAATGTATAACATGAACGATATACGTTTTTTGATCAAATACAATGTGTATAATAAACCTTAATTGTAAAAAAACGAGCATTCATAAAGGTTGTCGGTAGCCAAGATTTAAAAACTATTATCGGCTTTGTAATTTAGTAAACCGTATATTTCACCATTCGCTGTTGTAAACGATAATTATACCAGATTTCACATATTTGATTAAACTTTTCTTGTGTTAATCAGTTGTGATATGCTGAACAGTAAATTGAAATTTAGTTTACCCATTGTCTTTACTACAGACTTGAATAAACAACGTATAAAATGTTACACTTTTTTCTTGATTCGTATGTACTAATGCAACCAAGACGGTTGCAATGTTAACACGCTTTGACACACTGCTTATCGTTAGCTAAATATATATGCCTTTGGTGTCACGCTTAGGATCTTTTTGGAATAGCTTGAAGGTATGTCCAAAATTTTGGTACCCTATGACAGTTATGTTTGTCGTTAAAAAAAGTAATTGTTTTAATGTAACATATAATGGCAGACCTCTTCAACACACTGCATATTGCTAAAATATTATAATTTAGGTATTGACTATTATTATACTAGAAATGTACATTTTTACTCACTGTTTGTTATTAAACAAACAAGCTTAAGTAAACACTGAACCAGAACCAATTTTATTGTAACCTATAGCATAGGATTACAAGATTTGTGTGTTCAAGAAGATCGACAAAGTAATTGTAATTAATGGATGTAGTAACTAGCTCAGAATGATGTTAGGAGTTAACAATTGAAATATTATTCTTTGATTAAGCAATGTCAACGTTCAGCTTTTAGAAGTTTTTAACATTTGATTTAAAAATTGGTTCCAGACTGTAAGGACAGTATTTTTAGCCTAAACAGTATTTGGACTGCTATTCTGCCACTAATCGGTAATATAACATTATAGTTAGAATTATATAAAATTATAATACAATTGATTTTTAGAACGAGTAGAATACTTGTGCATGAAGTTTAGTAGTGAATATAATTTCTAAAAAACTGGAAATCATAATTTGTACACAGTCTCTACTCTTCATTGAGTTCACAATTTAATAATAATATATGTATACTTAAATTATCAATGTTTTAACTTGCAAAAATAGGGTTCAAGGTAACTAGTATCAATAGTAGATACAACACATTCAGTAACATTTATTATTATGCATACTTAATTACTCATTATTTTTTAAAAACTGTTGCAAGCCAATATGTATGACATAAACTATGCAAGGTTCCAGTTAATGAGTATTTTGGTTTTAACGGTTATTATAGATTTATTATTACTGAATTCTACAAATAAACCACTTGTAATTTATTGTGGGGATGTAGCCACAACGGTGACAGGCCGGTGTCCAGTGGACAAACAGTTTTTTAATAAATTAAATCATTGCAATTTAATACCTTAAATTTTAGCGATTATCAATTAAAGAATGCTAGAAAACTAGTACAAGAAAAAAAAAAAAAAGTATTTTTTTAAGAAAATGGTTAAAAAAACATCTTTGGTTTGACCTACTGTATTTTTTACATTATTCAAATAATTTGCTTAAAAATTTTTTTTTTTTTAAATTATTTACAATCTGTATTTATGTTTACAATAAGTAAAATTTAGGGCTAATTTATTAACAAAGCTGGTCGACTTGATCGAAGGGGGCGTCCATTGACACTACTTCAGATTTGTAAGTTAATATTTTATTTAACTAGTGTGTGGTGTGGTTTTTATTTTTAATTTATATATTTACATATGGGTTGAGAAGATCTCTGGGCCATTTACGCTTAAGGCGGCATCGGGGTTGTCAGGGAGAGTGAGGAAAGATAATTTAGATATTAGTGGATTTTGGTGATTAAAAATGTTGTTGTGAAAGTTTTTATAGAATTGGGTAGCTTGATCAGGAATTTTTAAGTCGTTGTGTAGGGTTCGGTCCTTAAAGTAAAATATATAAAACCAAAATATATCGGGCAACTTTTCATGTCATTTTTAAAAATATATATAAGATGATCTTTTTGTTATAGTATCCTTGTTGAATATTGCATAATGCATTCTTTACAAATATTTTGTGTGCATCTATTATGCAATTTATAATGGAACTTGGATTTACATGGAACTTGTGAATGTTTAGAGATAATCCTCCTGAAAAGTTGTTAATTTTGACTTATCACGTTTTGACCAACCATCGAAGATATATTCTTGAAATAACACACCTAATTTAACTTTATAATTATATTTTATATTTACTTAATATTTAACTTTATATTTATAATTTCATAAAATTATAATACAATTGATTTTTAGAATGAGTTGAATTTGTGCATGAAGGTCTAATAGTGAATATAATTTCTAAAAAACTGTAAGTGATAGGTGTGACTTGAGGTACCTTCAGGTGGGATCAACGTTACAGTATGTTGGTACCGATCCGAAGTGTATGAGGACAAGTAAAATGAATTTCTTATAGGAATCAATCGTGATTGGCGAAATTACAGGAAATGTTGTCATGAAAACAATTTCGAAAAAAGTAATTGCTCTGTCAAAGTTTTTCATCGCTGTGTATATGAGACCGCCCGAAAAGTAGTAGTTGAAAAAGTATTTCGGTTCAAATATAATTTTAGGCTGTAGGACAAAAAAAACACAATATTAGTATACAGAACACATTAATAAACAAAATGCATTCCCACAGGTTGTACACAGTGTCATAACAAAAAATGTTACCTTTCTTGGCAAAAAAATACTTCTTCTTTTTTTAGGAAAACAAAAATAATTGAATTGATATAGTATAAAACGGAAAATTCTAAAATATATAAGTAATCCTATGTATACTTAATTATAAAAAAAAAAACAGATTTTGTATATAAATAGCTTAAATTAAATTTATATCGCTACATATTGCGTAGACATAGGCATTATTTAAATACATTATTAATTTTATTAACACAAATGTCCAAATAATAATTTCAAATACATTTTGGCACACATTTAAATGTCAAATAAATTAAATAAATTTGAACTGAAAACAACAGATTATTAATGAAGTAGTCAAATAAAATATTATTAACAAAACTATATTACTTGATACAGTAAATAAAAGTACTTTAAATACGAATTTAATTTTTACATTAAATAAAATTGATTTAAAAAAAAAATCGTTATTTAAGTTATGTAACGCTAAGGTTTCCTACACATTTAATTGTTAGAAAAATGGATTGTGTAAATAAAACTTAACATTATGTATTTTTATAATAAGTTATTGCGTAAACGCGACTAGAAGTTTTTTATGACTTAAAGCGGTGGTAATCAAACGGGTACAATTGACTTATACATGTACAATTTTACAAGAGAACGAAAATTCTATTCTCAATGTGTTTTTACAGTCAGGTTAGAATTATTATCATTCAACACTACTGACCACAGACACTTTTACCACCGCTGGATTTACCTCTTAATTTCTAAAATGGTTTTATTGTTAAACAATGGTATCAATAATGTTATTTATATGAAGCTATACTTCAATTTTACTAACTTACACTCTTACTAACATACACGAATTCAAAGTTACTCGGTATCGGACATTTCTTCGATTTTTTCCAGTTCACATTCCATAAGCAACGATGTCGCAAAAATATCAATGTTGCTGCTTGCCCTTGGCGGTAATTGTCGCTGGTGAAATAGCACACCACTAGGCCCAGCCTGGGATTGTACAATTGGCGCTTGCGGAATATAAGTCTTGAAGTTTTCTTCGGCTGATTGCAATATTTTAGACACTTCGATTTTATGCTCAATCTAAAATAAATATACATATTGAATATAAAATTGACAAGTGCACAGATAGTAGTAGACAGTTCGATAAATTATTATCCATATTTACTTCTTTTATGATACCGATAAGAACGTCTGGGTCTTCATAACTATAGTCAACGTTGATGTTGGAAGTAGCGATACCTTTTTTTTCATCGATTTTGTAGTGTAGCACGTTTGATTTTCTCTAAAAAAAAAAATTTGATATTATACTTTAGCGTAAAACTACAGCAGTATGTGTGGACGATCTCAAATTTACCATTGTCAAGAGATAGTTTACCGCATCTTTTGCCGTTTTAAGGTTGAGTTGTTCGGCCAATTCGGCTAGGGTCATGGTCAAGAACAAGTTGGCCTGGTTCAATTGTTTCACCAATCCAAAATTTTTATCCCTTCAAAAAAAAAAAATTGATCGTGAACCATAATAAACATTCAAATATTAAGCAAAACAGTCCAAATAGATACCAGATGTTAATGTAAATATATGATAAATATCTTTTACCTTACATAAATATCTTGGTGTTTAGCAATTGTCGCGTGGACTGCTGTTAAATTTCCACTTTGATAAAGTGGTACCAAATCTAAGTACGGTTGACACGTTGGTCCATACAATTCATCGAGGATTGTGGGATCAACGTTACGGTATGTTGGTACCGATCCGAAGTGTATGAGGACAAGTAAAATGAATTTCTTATAGGAATCAATCGTGATTGGCGAAATTACAGGAAATGTTGTCATGAAAACAATTTCGAAAAAAGTAATTGCTCTGTCAAAGTTTTTCATCGCTGTGTATATGAGACCGCCCGAAAAGTAGTAGTTGAAAAAGTATTTCGGTTCAAATATAATTTTAGGCTGTAGGACAAAAAAAACATAATATTAATATACAGAACACATTAACAAACAAAATGCATTCCCACAGGTTGTACACAGTGTCATAACAAAAAATGTTACCTTCCTTGGCAAAAAAATACTTCTTCTTTTTTTAGGTAAACAAAAATAATTAAATTGATATAGTAAAAAACGGAAAATTCTAAAATATATAAGTAATCGACATGATATTATAACACTTTTCTTTTATTTAACGTATCTGAGTTCAATCCAATTTATAATAGTGAATTATATTTAAATAAATGTTGTCAGTGAACGCAGAAAGTATCTGGAAGTCACATCCACCGTTATCGTAACGTTTTGATGTCCTTCACACAGTCTTCCCATCTTTATCTTGGCCTGCTTATAGGATCTTCTTCTACTACCTGTCGTAACTAAGGATCCTTGCTTATGCCAGGCGCCCACATTAGTCTTTTTTTTGTGATCTCTTCAACTATATCAGGCTTTTGAAACTGCATTTGGAGTTCATAATTATGCAGTTTTCTCCATTTGTTGGTTTGAATATCAAAGCTTGGGCCATTCTTTAGCACTTTCCTCTCGAATATCCTTGTGTGCCAGTTCTTCAACTTTTCTCAGTGTACTCTGAATTCCGTCCTTCCCAGGACTTTAATGGTTTTTTAGCCTGTTGTTGTAATATTTTTTCTTTGCTTGGGGGTGGACTGTCTATGTCATCAGGTTCTGTTGGCGTCCATGCAAATGTCTCAACTGGGTTTTCGCCATAAGCAACAATCCAAAATACTATTACCATTTTTTCAATACTTTGTCTTCTTCTATCTCTGAAGAACCATCATCAACTTTTCATGTTTTTGTATCCTCCTTTAATTGAGTTTGTCTTCTGATATAACTTTCCGAATTAGTATTTATTCAATTAACAATCTCGGCTTCCTTTAATAAAATATCTTTTGTATATTTCCGTTTTACATATCTAAATATATTATTTAGATATAATACCTATATAATATACATTAAAAAAAAAATGTATTTATAAATTAAAAAAAAAAAGAAATATGTGACTTTGACTCTGCCCCCTTCCAAAAAGGGGTAATCTTGGTCGACTTCCCTTCTCGCCTACCCCTTGTTACGGCACTGTCTACTCATCATTTTCGAACAATGTTAATATTAAAGGTTGAAATGGAAAAAAAATTGACAAGTTTTTTTTAGGTCTTAGGAAAAATAAAAAAATTAATCCATCCAATTATAAATGATACGCTAGAAAATTACTTTATTGTATCATACCTTCGCCATAACTTAAAGAAAAACAATTTTAAAAGTTCTATAACAAGAAATATTTTTGCCCCTTAATAACTAGCGATTTCCGTTCCCAAAAACCAGGTGACTTACTTCATCGGAGTTTAAAAAATAAACTTCCTGATCTAAGACTTTCAGCGAAGCCTTAAGATTATAAGACATTATGCATGCTTCACATAGCAAGTAATGGAAATGAGTCAATTGGTGAGATTTTGTCTGCAGTTTATCAATGGCGCGTTGAAAAGTAGGTATCATCATCATTGTTTTTTTCACTTTGTGTAGATTTCTTAACAGAGCTTGCACTACGCTGGCCACTAAAAAAAAAAACAAATTAGTTTTGCCTAACAACTTTGACAGCGCTAAAAATACTTACATGTTTTGGAGCAGGAATGAAATACATCAGCTCTGACAACAGAAACAAAATGATTTATTCGTGATGCAACTGTCACAAGTGCAAGTCAACTGGTACACTAGTTGGCTGAGTCGAAGCGTCAACATTTAAAACCATCAGAATTGCAAGCCGATGTTCGTTTATGTCGAAAGCTGCTAGTACGCCATCCATGCGGGACACGAAGCCCTCGAGGAAGTACTTTTGTTCATCAAGATAAACCATTAGTTCTCGACCATTGCCAGCTAAGAAACAATTATAAGAAAACACAATATGTTATTTATATTTTTACAATTTCATTTTTATTTGCATTCAGCTCTCGATGGATTTTATTTATAGATACAACACAATTAAAGACGAATAAAGTTGATGCAGTATAATTGTAATTTGTTATCAATGTAAAACGGTCAGGTAAAATTTGTTGGTATTTTCAGTTCTCAGTAAATTAACAAAGGATTTGGGAAACCAACTGTGCACTTAATTATATTATACTACATTTTACACTTTAACAAGGGAGGCTTTGTTCCTCACGCCCTTTTTTTTATTGTTCATTATTTTAACCAGATCGTATTAACTTTTTTTTTTATTCATTTAACATTGTAATCACAAATTGAAATTGATGGAGCGTTCTACTCATGTCATATGGTCAACTATTTTCATAGAATATTTATTGAATAAAATCATTTAAACATAGGATAGGTACACGATACATTATATTTTAAGAACTAGAATAAAAGAACAAAAATATAATATTTGATAAACGAGAAATAAGTACATACCAAAACAAAATTGTGACAAATTGATTTATTTTCTATTTACTTAAAAAACAGTAGTAATTACTGTTTGTCAACCCATTTCTGCATGAATCGTTTTATTTCTTATAAAAAAAATATATCAGAGTGAGAAAAATATTTTTAAAAATGTTTTAATGCAGTGGCGGTTCTGGCATTAAATTGTTGAGGAGGCAACAACTTTGTACCCTCATTGATAAAAAAAGCGCAAAACCCCAACACTTAAAATTTCTTCATACTGGGATACTTCCTTTTTTTAACTGTAACAGAAGACTTTTGCTTATTATCCTAGTTATTAGTTATAATCGCATTACCGGTCATCTAATAAAATAATTATCATTGAAATGTATGAACTTAAGATAAATGTATAATCATAAAAACATATGTAAATACAATTTACAAAAGATGAAATTGTAATCGCAAACGATTTTCTGTATGGATGTTGCTTCATAACCACTATACTGACATATACAGGATTCATTTTGAAAAAAAATAATAAAGCTAATAAGTATAATAATATATTAACTAATAACTTAAGAAAACTAAATAAAACGCCAATTAGTAAACCGGTATCAGAATTAAGTAAAAAATATAGTGATATCAAATTGCGACTGCTGATAAATGATTTAGTGATAATGGGAAATGGCGTTTTAACAGTTGGCAGTGTCGGTGCTGATGTACATGCTGAATGTCTAGGCCCCATTTCTTCCCCGAGATAAGAACGATCATCGGTCAGTTGCCCACAAAGGCAATATTTTTGTGTCGCCTCTCGCAGAGAATTGCGCATGCGCTATTCGTATTATTTTATGTATGTGTGTGTGTGTGTGTATGTTGTGAACACAACAACATAACGTGAGACATTAGCGGCAGCCGCCTCCGCCGGCTGCCCTTATGCTACGTGTGTAACAACAGGCAGCGGCCGGCGGACGGCGGCCGTTGCATCCAGACGGTCACCGCTGATACGGAGAGACGTTATTTCAAATTCTTAAATTTTGTTTTCGCTTTCAAAAACAATGATTGTTCATATACATTTTTCGATTGAAAATATTTATTGTAAACCAAAATATCTCATCATAATAACAATATTAAGTACATAGTTTCCTTAATTTTCAAGGGAGGCACCGCCTCCCTTGCCTCCCCGGGAAAACTGCCACTGATTTAATATAACTAATAAATTTAGTTTGGATATCACGCGTTAAAACTAAGGGTGGGCCAAATATATCGATATATTCTTATATTTGTACTTTACGATAGTGTCGATATTGATATTATCGATATAATTGTATCGCAAGCCCATCCCTAATTATTAAAACTAGAAGTAAATATATGTGCCATTTATGAGAATCCAAGCGTGAAATACTACTAAGTTAGTGAGAAAATAATTATGGTAATTTAATAGTATTAACATTTAATTAATAACAATAAACTTTACCACGTTTAGTGAGTATTTTATTTTATGAGACAGTAACATATTAATAATGATAGGCATAAAAAAATATTCAAATGGAAATCTTTGATACGTTTCGTTGCATATAAGTAAGTAATAACCAACTCGTTTAATATATACTTACTATTTTGCGTTAGCGTTTTCACGGTTTGCACGAATTTATTAAGCTCGGGGTCCAACATTGTATGCACCGTTGTAATTAAAACGCGTAGAAAAACACTACTCGGTTAGAGTTTCTTTTAAATTTATTTTATTTTACTGAATTTACCGAATAAAATCCGAATTACTGTGCCGAAACGGTGTATTTTAGACAGCCGGCCGGGGCTCAAAGCATTTGCTAACTGAAGAACCAACGTTTGCGGCTGGCACACAATACAATACAACACAAGGGTCGGTAAGGCCGGAAGGGGAGCTGCAGCTGCCGCGCTGACAGCGTTTTCCCATTTATTGATCCCCAGGTTCCTGGTCAAAATACCTGCGCCGACCAAGCCCGGGGATATTTAGGCCACACCCAATAGCTTTGTACCCTAAAAAGTGAAAAATATTCGCCGTTGCCATATACTATCTATCATCGTCACACTGTTTTTAAAAAAGACGGATTTTTTTTATATATATATATAGGGTGTATCACGATGATCCGACGGTTGTATTTTATTAATACACCATATACGATCATTGTGCCGTATACATAGTAATCTACCTTGCGGTGGTTTTTTATTTTGTTAATATGATGATATGTCTCCCGTTGGATTCTTATAGTTGATAAAAAAATGTCTCGGTAGCCGGTAGTCTGGCCTTTTTTTTGCACTTATCACTTATTCTCGTAAAAAATCATTAAGGGTATTACAATTAATATTCATATATATATATTTATTTATAAAGGATAGGGCGAAGGCAACTGACGGGCCTAATATCTTATACAAATGTTATATTTTCTTTTGTTACAATAAGACGTCAATTATAATGCTTCATAATAGAATATGAATTATAAAAAATGTTTTTGACCTTTAGCGACTTTTTAGAATTAATTTTTGATTTTTTTTTTTTCATAATAATAAAAAAAACGTAACGCACAAGCACAGCGTTTTTACGATTAACAGTACGACCAAGTGTTTAAAGCTAATACCAACGTATTTTATCAATACAATTGTCATCTAAACTAGACCTCACGAAACTACTGACTAAAAACTATTTTGACACATTTTTATATCTTATACTATATGAACGAACAGAATATATCAGTATTAAACTAGGTGGAATTGTTTTGTTAAAAGTAATGCTCCACGGGTACGATGGTATTTAAAAAATGTACAAGCCTATATTATTCATATTCGAAGTATTAAAAACATAAATGTCGGACTTACTATTTTAAACGAGTTTCTCTCGGAGTCGGCATACTTATATTGTTGATCTGTGAAGCATAATGATCCACGCCCCTTAACAGCTGAAGTCGTACGCACCATTACATCTTTCGTGAGACCTACGCCTTCTACTAACAATGTAATTTCGACGTATTGGTTGTTATCGACGATGGTAAAGTTGACAACGTTTGCTGATAGCACGGCATAAACATGGTCGCCGTGAGTATATTCGTGTTGAAGCCCAGATCCACCCGTAGCGGTACCAATGTCCAACCAAAGCGATAGCAGTGCAACCGATAAGACAATATAGATTTTGAATATGATGACGTTGTCGAATACACACAAACGAAATTGTTTTTATGATGGGAAATTCACTAAAAACGGGCAAAAGAAATTCGCGACCGAACGAGTAAAGCCTTCGTGATCGAATGATGATTGCCAAAACTGGCGTGTGATACAAACCTCAGCCGACCCCTCTAGTTTGTTTGACAGGCAAAGTCGTCCTGACAATGACTGCCGTTTATTAATCCATTTGCGAGAAACGCTAGTATTCATCGACCCTTCAATTTATCAACGGGTTCCCTTTGTTGGTATATCCGTTTGACCTCGTTTCCAGACCGGGACAATTAATACAAATTGAGCAGTGTGCATAAGCTAAAATAATCTTTATTGTGATTTCTATAGCGTCGTATTTCCCATTGTCTGAACACCGGACGCCACGACGTGCAGGGTAATCCGGCACAGAACGAGTCATAGCAAAACATGTACTAAATCACATAGGTCTTTAAAAAACGTTTTTTATAAGTCACTTAAAAAAAAAATACACAAACATGTATTTAATCTCGATTATATAGTAGTTACCCTTAAATCGTAATTAAAAATATAATGTTAATTGATTTATTACCCGTTGACTACAAAAACAGCCTTTAAGCGACGTGAGCGATGGAGATATTTTATTTAGTCGGCTGTATAAAATAAAGGTCCATTAACAGTATTTTAAACCCCCTATTCTTCTTCTATTTGTATTTATAAATGTTTTCACTTTTAAATAATTACTAAAATTCGTTAATTTTTTTTTAAATTCACAGATTTTTTTGAAGTAGGTAGTTATCCGCCTAAAGAACATTTAAGAATAGGAGCAATAATTGTAAAACGTCAAATAAAATGGACAGTTACAGCTAAAACGAAAAGAAAACCTAAAACCATTACTTACGCTGTTATCGCTTTTTCTGTATTTTGTGTAACATAATACTCGCGTTAAGTTAGATAAATTAAATAAATACCTCTACGCTGAGAGTCCGAGTTTCATTGAGACGACATGGTGTTATGCCTGGTCAGGTAGGTTGCCACAAGAGACTTTGCACAACGGCAAGGGTAACTAAAACGGTTTAAGAGTAATTTATTGCACAAATAGCGCGTTATATACGAAAATCGTATAGGATTTTTTTTTAAAATTTTATGTCACGCGATAGTTTCTTGGCCAATGAGCGTCGAAAACGACGTTTAATAAGAAAACGATTTGTTAGAATTTATTACTTACACATACTTCAGTGGGTATTTTCGCCAATTGTATATACATATGGTGGCCAGATATAAAATTCCATTTTAAAACATGGTTCCTCCTCCGTCATATAATGGGCCAATAAGTACTTTTACCAGCCATGCCATAAAAGCAGCTTTAATTATATTTTATTTCCATCTATATAAATTGTTTTTTTTTTATCTAATTACTCTATTATTATTAGGTGTGTGTGTTGTGTGTGTGTGTTTCTTTATGATGACAATACTTTGAAATTTGACACATTTGAACATAATTCTCAATTGGTTCATCATTCACTCATTATTTCTGTAAGTTGTGCGGCCGCACCATCGCACATAGCCACGAGCCGCTACTGATAAATATATTTTCTTTTTTGTTGTGCGATTTTTTATTCGAATAAAACGTTATTTGAATAATCCTTTTACAGTTTATTTGAATAATGTTTTTTAAATTATTCGAATAAGAAAAATATTCTTACAAAAAATTGGTTAGAGGAATATTTACTAGTTTTATATATTTTTTAAATGTAGTAAATATTAGATTTATACGAAATCATATTTTCAAATATAGTTACATTAAAAAAGTACTTAAAAACTATTTAAATACTATTTTTTAAAATTATTTTAATCATTTCAAATATTGTATTCGACCCATTCAAATATTATTTTTATATTACATACAATGTAACATATTACACACAATAATAAAAAAAAAACATTTTTAAAAACATGCTTTTCTAAAAAAATAGTAAAAAACTAAAAAGTAAAAAAAAATTTTATTACAAGAAAATTTACCAATCAATTGTAGCATATTTTATTTAAAATGTCAATTACTTTGAAAAAAAAAACCGAAAATTAACTTCAATTTTAAATAATGTTAAACAACTTTAAATTTTGACTAAAAAGAAAAGCGTGGGTCCTGTTCAACAAAGTATGTGTCCTATACAAATATTAAACTAAATTTAAATTACAAAGATCTTACAATATAAAACATAACCTGATAAATTTATTACTATTTTTTTATTTTAAAAAAGCACGTTTTTAAAAAAGTTTTTTTTAATTAATTAATTTTTTTTTCTTTTTAGTCCTATTGAAGGTATTTAATAATTTCTGAATAGATTACTATATTAATTTTGGAAAATTTGGAATAAAACATGAAATTTTAGTAAAATGACTCCCACATTTGACCCTGTGTAGGGCGAC